GGAGGGTGGAGGGACAGCGCAGGAGGGGAAGACCCTCTATGAGGTGGATTGATTCAGTGACTGGGGTAATTGGGATGGGTGTGTCAGAGGCAGTGAGATAGGCACAGGTTAGAGCAGGGTTTAGGGTTGTTGTACATAGGGTCGCTATGAGTCGCAAACGACTCAACGGCACATAACAACAACAACATCTAATAGTATTACACATAAAACTTAAGGAGGCCATTTAGCATTAGTTAAGAAGTTATATTTTAAAGTCCAATAAATTTATGGCAAAATTTTAGTTAAATTCAGATGGCAGATGAGAGAATACTGATAAAAAAGGAAACGGCATCATTTTTACTATCTTACATTTCATTATAAATATAATCTCCACACATTGTATTAATAAAAATGACATTTACTTGAAATTCATATAAATTCAAAATTAAAAGAAATCTAGCCATAGTCTGCCATTTTAATGATTTTTCTTCTCACATCTCATATGAGGCTACATGTTCTGAGTCATTCTTTGGCTTTCAAAGTCCCTCTTTGTTCCAAGTAAAGGAGCGTCAATAATGTTGGCAGTGCCAACATTTTCTGAATGTGAGTAAGTCTCAGAAAGAAATATTTTACAGTGTTTACTAATGGAACAGTAACCTATGCTGTCTTCTGAAGAATTGTCTGATCAGTGTATGTTAACATTTCCTGGTTCTTTCCACACAGAAGCACCACCATCTCAAAGTACTTTCATTCAACTCAGCTCGACTCTGCCATCAAATTGGAGCCAACTCATAGCTGAATGCCCAGTGAACTTTTAGAGACTGTAAATCACGTGAGAGGAAATTGTCTTTCTCTTGAGGAGATGTTGGTGGATCAGAACAAGCGGCTTTTAGATTAGCATTACACCTCCCTAAAGTCCACCAGAGCTCCTAGTACTTTTATTAGATGGAATAAAACATTTTCAAAAACTTCGTGTTATTTAAGTGAAAAACTGTGAAACATATAGAAACAATAGAGCAATAGGCAAATTCCATCATTCTTTTTCCAAATATTTATAGACTATAGCATTCATATAACTTACCAAAGATTGACAATACTGGTTGATGAAGGTGAAAATAAGTCACTTTAAAGTTTTTGTTCCAAAGGGGTTTTTTAAATTCATTTTTATTGAGATTTTAATGAAAGTTTATAAAGAACTTGGATTTCCATTCATTCATTGTTACACATTTTCCTAACTGTTCCCCTCCTCACCCCAGTTCATTTTTTTCCTTTGGAAAAAAGTTCTTTCCTTGTTATACAGCCCCTCCCCTCCCATTCTTGGACCACTTTACCATGCAGCTCTTATTCTGGACTCTTGTCATGTCAATAATACCTAATCATATGTTCCTTTTCAAGTTTTCCAACCCTGCTTGCTGAAACTGAGGAAGACCTGAAGCACTTGCTGCAGAGGGTCAAGGACTGCAGCTTCCAATATGGACTGAGGCTCAGTGTCAAGAAGACAAAGATTCTCACCACTGGACCAATTGGCAGCATCAGGATGGATGGTGAAGAGCTTGAGATTGTACACAGTTTTAGTTTGCTTGGCTCTACAGTCAACACTCTTGGCACCAGTATCCAGGAAATTAAAAGGTGCATTGCCATGGGAAAGTCTGCTGTTAGGGACCTCTCCAAAGTACTGAAGAGCAATGGTGTCTCTCTGGAGACTAAGGTGTATCTGATACAGGCCATGGTCTTTGTTATCACTTGTTATGCATCAGAGAGTTGGACAATGACCAAGGAGGATAGAAGGAGAACTGATGCCTTTGAGCTGTGGTGCTGGAGAAGAGTATTGAGAATACCATGGACTGTTAGTAAAACAGATTCATCCTAGAGAGGGTTAAACGGGGATGCTTCCTGGAGGCAGGGATTCTGAGGCTCCATCTAACATACTCTGGACATGCTGTAAGGAGGGACTGGTCCTTGGAGAGGGACATCATGCTTGGGAGGGTGGAGGGACGGCACAGACGGGGAAGACCCTCTATGAGGCGGATTGATTCAGTGACTGGGGTAATCGGGATGGGTGTGTCAGAGGCAGTGAGATTGGCACAGGATAGAGCAGGGTTTAGGGCTGTTGTACATAGGGTCGGTATGAGTCGCAGGCGACTCGATGGCACATAACAACAACAAGAACATATATAAATAAATCCTTACATATGCTGCATATATGCAAAAACTAAGCCCAAGACATTGCCTTCAAGCTGATTCTGACTCATAGCAGCTCTCCAGTGGGTTTCTGAGGCTGTCCATTTTTGTGTGTGCCATGGAGTAGCTGGTGGATTTGAACCACTCATCTTTTCGTTAGCAGTTCAATAGGTAGAATACCATGCCATCAAAACTCATAAGGAAAGGGTACACAAATAGAGCAAACATAAGTATCAATAAAGAGAAAATTATCCAATGATTACATAAAACATACATTTGGAAAATGTGGCAAGTCACATTATGTCACGTCATGTCACATCATGTTGCTTCACATAGAATAAATGTAAAGAATGAAACCTAGTAGTTTTTACTGCAAAACCAGTTATTTTTTACTAGGTTTTGCATATACGTATAAGGCAGTGTTGATCTACAAACCACAGAATGAGTTCTGTGTCTAAATGAACATTCTTTAAAACTGCATTAATGTTTTAAAGATGTGTGGTTTTTTACTAAAGAAGGACTATGTTCTAAGTGTTCTCATTATATTTATTATAAACATCACTTCATTCTATTTAGCTCTACAATCTGTTTGCAATTCAGTATATGTATAGCATACATACAGTGTGTCTGGCCTATTGTAGGAACTCAGCAAACACATTTTGAGTGAATAAATGACTATATAAATCCCAATCACTAACGGGAACATCTTCTTGTGACTTAATACATAGATTTCAATGCTCAATAGG